AAAAAATTAGTGGGAGGTAGGGGATCAGCGTAAATATCATGTGCAGCGGAGACACTTTCGAAAGCAGTCTTTTATCGTTTAACTATAAATACAAATCGAATACAGTGTGCGGATAAGAATGAAAATCAGCAGTAACCCCCTCCTAATCATCATAAACACTAATTGCAGTTAAGCGGCCTTAATCATGCAGCATCGAAAATTAGCAGTTTCCGTCCTTACGTGGATGATTTGGCCATTTTCACTCCTTTTCTTTTGAACATTTGCAAATTTGATTGTAACAATGTCGTCTAGTGAGACTTGTGGGTTAATGGTAACGCTGACAAGGGAGGCAGCGCTAAAAAGTCAGAACAATCAGCCTCTCCACCATTCGTTCATTTATTTCGATAGTAAATTGATACTGGCGCACGCCAGGAAGTCAGTCACCTACCAGCTTGTTTCTAAGCAACCCATGAAGGAGGAGTCATCAGCGATCTTACCAGCAAGTGATTGCTGTTTATACGTGCTGCCCAGTGAGGCTATTTCCGTCTAAAAAAGTGTATCAAAAAATGATATATAAGGAATTTTGACTTTAACTGATAGGATGCACTTCTTAGACAGATAATGACGTGCGTCTGCGCGCTATGCAGTCAGTAATTTTGCAGTGGTACTGTCGATGACAGGTGTTTGCGTGTGTTACAGGCTTTGGTGAGGATGTGGTTCGAAGAACGTAGCTGGTCGAATCTGAAGATGCCGTCAACACTGGTGGAGGAGTGGCGTGACCTATGGTCCATCAAAATTGATATGATTGTCGCTTCACTTGCCTATGTTTTCGCCACTACCAATTTCCTTAATTTGCCCAGACTGATACTCGAGAATGGTGGCTGTAAGTCCTTTTGCTGATTTAAATAACACGTGATGCTGATGAGTTTATTGTGATGGAATTGCTGTTCTCGCGCTGACCAGTTTGTGGAAGAGCGAGGTACCATTCCGTCAGTGAATATGCTCCCTTTTGATAGTAAATTGATACCGATACATGCGCGAAAGTCAAATCAACATTAGATCAGATCATCGTCCTTTCCATCCATCACTCCTCCCTCACCCTTCCCCCTCTCCTCGTTTACCCGAATGTATGTGAACTGGCCAAATTATCCCCGAATATTATAAAGAGCCATACGCCACGTAACCATTAAATCCACCTGACACAGCCCCTCCCCGTTGTCGCG